CGAAACGGCGTGCTAACATATTACTCTTAGCGGCAATAGACCTCCTTTGCCTCTCCATGTCATCATCGTCCCTAAGGTTATCCCTTATTACGTGCCCTAGATATTTGAAAGAGGTTACGGTTTTAAGTGGTGTCCCGCCAATAGTAATTACTGGGTTAAAGCTGTTAGTTCTGTCGTGTCTAAAAATCATAACCTCCGTTTTGACCGCATTATAGGTCAGTCCATGACTTGCAGAGTATTTTTCACAAATGTTTAATAATGTACGCAGACCCTGAACGGACGGGCTCAGCAGAACCATGTCGTCGGCGTAGCTCAAGTTATTGACAGGTTCATTTGTCATGTGACAGCCGACTCCAGACCGGCCGAGCTCATCGATCAGACCGTTGACGTACAGGTTGAACAGAGTTGGTGATGTCAGCCCACCCTGTCTTACGCCACACTTAAGGGTATACTCTTTAGAAAAACCTTTATTGGCCCATCTTACCACGTTACTCTGGGCACCATACCAGTACTTGAACAGTCCCAGCAAGTCACAAGGCACGCCAACCTCCTCCATCTTTGCCCATAAAAGCATCAACTGCCAAAATTTCAAGTTTGTAGCCCCATGTGTTTATAGTCCATCAACGTCGTGCGCGACCGTCCTGCGGGGTGACAGACGGTGGCGGGGACGAGGTACTCAAGATGTCAGCGGGTAGCGGGTGGTGTAGCGGGGAAGGGAAACGCGTGTAGCCGTGTGCTAGAATGACACGCTACCTCGCCCCCGCCACTGTCTGTCACCCCGCGGGACGGTCGCGCACGAGATTGCCGGGTTATAGGCTCTGCGTCGATGAATCAGTAAGTCAGGGCAAATTATTTTATACTAGCTTTTAGCCGTTGCTCCGCCCGCGTGTATGTCGGTTATCGCGGTAAAAAGTAGCCTGTGTTACTCGCTGATAATGTAGCTTTACATTGGTGAAAGAAATTTTTAAAATCGGGTTGGTGGTTTGGGCGTGAAAGCTGACAAACTAACTCATTTTCACATTTGTAATGTTACTTACATTGGTGGGTTATACTCGTACAATACAAATTACATAACGCTAATCAGCGCAGAAACCCATACATATGGTAAGTAATCAAATAAAACTCACCCTCACGTTGAAGACCGACTTGCCGAAAACGACGAGGTGTTCCGTCACTCTGAGTCTTTTGTAAGGGCGGTTTAAAAAAGGATTTTGCCAAAAAGTGTGTTCATATTTTAAGGTCATAATAGTGGACCCCATGAATAATGTAAAGTGCTAACAATTTTAGGGAAACTCTCGTGACTTAAAAATATCTACCAATAAGGTTAATAATTTATATGAGAGAGGGCGGCCTCGGTATTTTATATTAAGTAGTCCAGTGTTTATTTCTAAAAATGTGTTATTTCTAAAAAAACTTTTGAATTGCCTTGAATTGGCAGAGCCTGTGACGACATATAGTGTAATCGGGTCGAAACGTTGAGCACTACTTGTATGATGCCCGAATAGTTTCGGGCCTTCGGGCCCCTCTTTTATCATGGAGTGAAACGACCTGCCGCTACAATGTCAAGCGCTTCACGTGACGACTATGGTAGACATCAATCACAAACGACATTTTATGCAAGATATATTTCTAAATAAACAAGTTTCAGAACAAATGATCGTGTTCATCACACAATTATTTGTCCTGGGTTGGAATCGAACCCACGACCTTCGGCTTAGCAGTCAGGGTGTCTAACCACTAGACCAACAGAAGCGTTGTGATGACTCCGTAGTGACTTGGCAATATATTTTTCACTCAAGGTCAAATGTTTCAATTAACAAATAAGTATGTTCAAATTTTTACTTAAGTTTCTATTTATTTCTAAAGTGTGGACATTAAAATACATCATCATAAACAGCCTTTCCCAATCCACTGCTGAACATAGGCTTCCCCTTATAAAGAAGGTTTTGGCCTACTATACCACGCTGGCCAGACGGGTGGTATAGGGTTTTTTTCAAGTTTTCCTTCTCTTGATGATGAGGTGAGATCATTAAAATACGTCAATGCAGAAATTTTATTTAAAAGTTGAAAGACGTCAGAATTGGAGCCAACGATCAGTGTGACATGCGCGAGTATTGAATTAAAGCCGGTATTTACGCCGAGATAATCCGCTAATACGATCACCGTGTATTACGCTATTGGTACCCCCCAAATGTTATGTGACAGTTGACGGATTTACGATTTAAGTTCCAGGATTATGTTACTGTGATATTCTATAATCGGACTCCATATCTAATACAGCATTTGTGCCTGTGTCGTTGTGCACGGAGGAGAGATTTGAAGAGGCTTTGTTTCTAGTTTACCTCAGACATCAGGAACTATCTAGGTTCTTGACTTTTTTTACGTGTGGAAACCCCATTGGGCCGTCATTAAACCGGAGCTTACGGTGAGGCGTTGTGTCGGCTTCGAACCGACTAAAACCACACGGAGTGCCATTTCGCGCCTAAAATCGGAGGGATCCGGAAACAGCTGAATATAAATTCTGGGCTAAGTCAAGGATATTATAAAATAACATTTTGCATATTTAATTGTAATTAAAGACAAACGTGTGTATTTCGGGGATTCCCCATAAGTTTCTGATCCGGGTTGAGCTCTTATTCAAGGAGTGAAACGTTCTGTCACGATTGTGTAACTTCGAAGCCTGGCACCGTTTATCTTTAACTAGCTGGCCCAAACAACTTCATCTGGCTCCTTCAAAAGGAATAAATTTTACCCATTTTTATAACATTTTTCGTTGATCGTAGCGTGACGTTATATAGCCTTCCTCGGTAAATAGGCTATCCAATGCTAAAATAATCTTTCGATTCGAACCAGTAGTTCCTGAGATTAGTGCTAATTAACCAAACAAACTCTCTTCAGCTTTATAATATTAGTGTAGATTAATATAAATACTCGTACCACTCACGAATGTCTCAAAGGGCCGAGTGTTAGTTTATTTCGGCTCGCTCTCGACATTGAGCTCGTTCGGCGTTACGATTGTTGCAGATCTCAGAGCGGGCCAATCACAACACTAAACGCGGTTACCGATTCGACTCGACTACTCGACTCGACTCGACTCGATTGTCACAGTCGAGTCGAGTCGAGTAGTCTGTGAAATAAACGCTTTTGACTGCACGGATGGCATAGTAGTTTAAGTCACCTCGCTGCTTCCTACTGCGCTGAGTGTTGTGGGTTCAATCCCCACATGTGAGAACAATTTGTGTGATCCATAAATTGTTGTTCTGAGTCTTTATCTATGTATAATAAGTATGTATTTACAAAAAAATAAAGTATATATGTATTTACATCAGTTGTCTAGTACCCATAGTACAAGCTCTGCTTAGTTTGGGACTAGATGGCGTTGTGTGAATGTGGTACAATATTATTATTATTTTTATTTTAAAAAGACAACGCCCGCATTAGGAATATATCCTGTGTCACGGGGGACTTTACAAACATACATGGAACGGACACAAAGAACACCCAGACTCAGAACAACAATTTGTGGATCACACAAAGTGTCGTCCCATGTGGGGTTTGAACCCACAACACTCGGCGTAGTAGGAAGCGGCGTGGCGCGGAAGTCTGGGTGTCCTTGTGTCCCCCGCGACACAGGATTTATTCCTACTGCGGGAGTTGTCTTTAAAAAGAAACTTTACACCATGCCCTCTGGTCCTGTGTACCTATTTATCCGTATAAACACGCTACTGTTTTTGATCGCCTCATTAACCCTCCATGATCCCTTACAGTTCGCGGCCCATTAATCAAACCGTCGGACCTTTATCTGCTTGGGGGTATCAAAACACCCTACATCTTGTGCCAAAGGGTTCGGACAGGGTCATGTAATGGACCGTTTATAGTAAAACGCTACTCATGAATTGATTTTAATTTTCGGCCAGTTTCGGTAATGTGTCTAGGGATGATTTAGGGGTGGATATTGTTCTAGCTTTTATTTGTGCTGGTAAAGGGCTACTTTATTACTTACCCTTGCTATTAATGTAATCTATGTTGATTAATATTTAAAACTCAAGAATGGCTGTGCTGATTTTTGTGATGTTTGATTTTTTGGCAATGTCGTGAGTCTCAAATAGCAGAATAATGATGTTTACAGGCACAGCAATTAAAGTGATAATATGATGGATATTACATTTGTATATTTGTCCGTGTAGTGACGGACTAAGAATACGGAATGTCACTACCCCAATTCATCCTGTGGGTGTTGTAAGAGCCGATTAAGGGCGCAAAACAACGCAGAACACCAGCACTGCAAAAAGAAGGAAAACTTGACACAAACCCCATACCAACCCGTCTGGCCAGCGTGGTATAGTAGGCCAAAACCTCCTTTCTAAGAAGAGGCTTATGTCCAGTAGTGGACTAGTAAAGGCTGTTGATGTGATGATAGGCAATCAGTCTGTGCCCACGGTTTATGTGAGCTGGAAGACAGGCAAGACAGTTATTAGATTAAGTACGTTACTGTAGTAATTGTCGTTTACATAAATATTTGAGAACAGTATATTCGTAAGTCCTCGGGCAGTCTGTGACCACGGCTGGTATAAGCTGGACGCCAGGCAAATCGAAGTTACTGCGATAAATTCCTTACAGTATGAAAATAAATCCAGTTACTTATTTTAGGAAAATTCTTAGCTATATACTCGTACGATCTATTGGTGGTCAGTCTGTGACCACGGCAGCTGTGAGCTGGACGTCAAGCAAAGCAAAAATGGCTACAATGAATTCCTTATTGTTGCAATTTACTGTATACTGCATTATACTCGTTCGTATGATACTGAAATATTACAAATGTTTATATTATATATAATTCCATAGACAATTTGGGTAATACTTTCTTTTATGCTAGTTCTGTTTAAAATGATACAATAAATGATGAACGCTACAGATTCCTGATACTGTATTTTTTGCGGAGAATCTGATTTTTTTGAATAAAACTTAAATACAAAGAGATTCTTTGAGTAAACTATACCATGTACTACTTTTGTTTCAGGCTTCTCAGCCTCGATGTCTCCGCGCTCGAGGACGTGTATTGGCTGGAAGACACGAGGGCACGCCACGTGCTTGAGCCGAAGGACTTCGGCGCTTGGTCAGCCGCTCGTCAAAGTCTCCCCACTGGCAAAGACGCGCTGCAAACTCTTAAATCAGAGCTCTGGAGTGCTGTTGTGAAGAATAGCAAGCACCAAGATGCTTGGACTTGGGGTAAATGTTATAAAGAAAAATGAATAAATTATATTGTTTTTGGTCCAGTTTTCAAAGTTTTCACTGAGACAGTTACTACGAGTACAAGATTTTAAAAAGTAGCTGTAACATGTGTTGTATATAAAATAAACCTATTTAACTTATTTGTAGATGACGTAGTGCTATCCCTAATTTCAGTCACGACTTTAACATAAATAATATCGGTTGTGTATCAGAAAGTTAACCAAACTGTACATGACATGATTGTAATTCGCAACCATTGCCGACACTTGATTAGACGACCGCTCGGTGTCTTGCAGTGTTATGAACGAGGTTATAACAGAACTTGGTCTGATGTGCAGGTGGCATGCTGGTCGTGTCAGTATCGGTTTGTGGGCTGGTGACACTCGCGGCGATGACGCAGCCATCGTTGGCCCCTGAGGCTAAGCATTCGTTGCTGCAGTACGTCACCGGGAAATATCTTCACCCTCCCAGTTGTAAGGTATCTAGCGAGTAGATACTAATAGTTTTCGTTTTCCAGTATATTTTTACATTTACACGAAACACGTACAAAACCCTGCAACATAACATGTGGATAGTGGCGCCCAACATGGGGCATTATACGAACTACTGTTTTAGGAACTGGGGTATCTGAAGACTCTCGAAATAAGTTCTAAAGCAGATTCTTTCATCCTAGGTGGAATGGGGATGGCAGGAGCCCCAGGCGGTAGGCGAAACGATGTGCTTTACAGTGCATTGTTTTCAACGCAACGGGCAGCCATACCCCATATGTGACACAGACGAATTAACGGTTTCCATATCACATGGCACCAGGAAGGTAAGCTTCTGTTGGGCAAATGCAACATTGCTGATAATTAGTCCCAGTTGGTCACAACTAATATAGGGAAATACTAAACATATTCAAATCTATAATTAGATAGATTGATTGTAATCAGTTCATCGGAATATGACATAATTATGTTTAATTTTAAAAGTGGGGTTCAAACGCACTCAACAGTGACTTCAAAAAAAGAAGGAGGTTATTTATCATCAATTTCAGCGTATTCACTTTGTCTATTGTATCTGAAATATTTATTGAAGTCAAATCAAGTTGACTGCACGGATGGCGTAGTGGTTTAAGCGGTCGCCACGCCGCTTCCTACTACGCCGAGTGTTGTGGGTTCAAACCCCACATGGGACGACACTTTGTGTGATCCACAAATTGTTGTTCCAAGTCTGGGTGTTATTTGTGTCCGTTTCATGTTTGTTTGTAAAGTCCCCCGCGACACAGGATATTTTCCTAATGCGGGAGTTGTCTTTAAAAAAAAAAAAAAAAAAAACACCCTTTTATGTACAAATTTGTTTGATAAATATTAAAGCTACGAGCATACTACATACTGATCAGCTATAGTAGGGGAGATATAGAAGGATTTCGGGATTTACTCGAGCGTCTCAGATTAAGATATTAGGAATACCTTGGCTTGGGGAAGAGTCTAGGGCAGCCCATATAAGATTAGTAAAAAAAAACGATAGCCAGAAATACTCGAGCGTGTAAGATTAAGGTAAGTTCAGTCAATAACAATACATATTAGTGTGTATTTAACAGGGGGTATTTTAAGGAGGGTCACGTTCCAAAAAATACCCATGATCTTGAATTTTTTTTAATTGTGAAGCAAACTGCAAGAAATCTTTAAACGCCAACATAATTTTTCGTGCCTTTATTTGTCACATTTTATAAAACGTCAAAAAATCAAAAAAAAATTACTAACCGTGAGATTTAAAATGCCCTGCAAAATTATCGTCAGATTTTTGGCCAGTATGAGAAGAACATCAAGCTGAACCGTCTGTATAAAATCTATTTCGAAATGGCGATTTTTCGAATTTGCAGTTTGCATTTCGTCACACCTTTCAATGGAAGCGTTTTTGGCGTCCAAATAACATATCCCCAAAACATCTGTTTGTTCAAGTTTGAAAACCTATAGAAGGTTCTCCCACTGCTGAAAGTGGAAACACTATATATAACTTCTATTAATTCTATTACCTAATCTTTCAAATGTAACAGGTCCCCATGACGCTCGATTAAATCCACATTTAGCATCATGGGCTCCCGATCGAGAAGCTAATTTGGGGAAAACTTAAAGCTTTTAAAAATTTCAACTTTGTTTGGTAGTGGTTTGCTGATAAAGCGCGCTACGGATTATGGCTTTTTACTCAGCCCGTAAAAAAAGTCATTCCTTTTTTTTGTTTATCACAGAGAATATTAATCTTGTCTTGGTTTGGGTTTACAGGTAACTGCGGTTATAGAATTAGGATCTGGTGACCCTGCACAAGCGAATACGGCACGCGTCAAATTTACTGTGAGAACAGCCGGCATCTACATCATATCTATCATGATAGGTAACGATATGTTATGGCTGTAATTGTTTAATGTTAAATGTGTTTTATCGTATTACTAGTTTAAAAGGGAATGGAGGTGAGTCGGTGTTTATAATTATCTGTATAACCTTGGACATATACTTTTCATGATCCTTACTGACAGGAACATCTATTCAAGGTTGCTCTAGAATTTTTGAGTTTATAGACAAGTTAACTTCTCGGTGCATAGATAAGATTGGGAGACACTATAGGTTTTATAACCAAAATTGTATAAAGTAAGCACAGTACAGGTACAGAGAGCCGATTGAAAGTCAGGCGTGGGCAGTGTGAGTGCAAGTGTAGACGAGGCGGGTGTGTGTGTCAGGCGGCGTGTCGGTGTGCGGCGCGCCGTTCCGCAAGTGGTTCAGCGCGGGGCGCGTGGAGGCGCGGCGCTCGCGCGTGGGGCGCGCGCACGCCGCGCTCGTGTTCGCCGCCGGGCACGCGCGCGCGCTGCACGTGCACCCGCGCGACCAGTACGACAACCCCGCGCCGCTGCAGCCCGCCGACCAGAACCCGCCGAGGGTGAGTACCGAACCTCTTATTTCCAGGACTTTCGCACACATACCAGCTGTAGCCTCGGTATACCCGTAATCGAGACTGATAATCTACTCGGCAGCAGAAATACGACTACGCTTCTAACTAAAAGCATTTAAAGAAAAGCATTTGAATCGACGTGCCTATACTAAAACGAGTGTAGTTTTTTTAAACTGGAATTCTTTCCTTGTAGGAGGAGTAGGTAAGACTTTGACATGACCTATTTAAAGCCTGCATATAATTTTGACGATGCGTTGTGTGAGCCAAACATTGATCTCTGTGACAGAATGCCACAGGGATCACTACTTGGACCCTTGGTTTCCTTATAACACGTATAACCTACTAACACCCACAAATACATGGTATGGAATGAGCGCACCCAAATGTGGATGTGCTTTTGCCTACACTTGCACACACGAACACGGAGATTCAATATTTTTCTGAAATATCCTATATCCTTTGTTATATTCCTAGCAACAAGCATATAAAGTTGAAAATTGTATGATGATGAATTGAACGGTACGACATCGCATAAAATATGCATGCATGGCATGGTTTTAGCATGATATGATTTGGAGACGGTATTTACCAATCAAATTTAACATATTTACAAGAAAATCACATATCTTTGAATATTAAACATATCCGACACTGTCTCCAAATCTTCAAACTTATGAAAAAACGTATTTCTTCACACAGGGCTTCTCCATCAAACTCAATCTCCTCGGCAGTGAAGTGGATGAGGCCTTGTGTTCGTCAGCTACGTTCTCGTACGACAATGTAAACCAGCGCGTGATACTTACCCTGTGCTTCGAACGGGCCGGAGTGTACCGGGCCGCGGTCTTTTACGACGATGTGTTATTGCATAACGGGGAATTCGATTGCATCGTACTTACAGGTGACGTATGTTGAATATATATTTATTTACACATCATGCACATTTGGTGCATTGGCGGATTTAATGCCTAAGGCATTCTCTACCAGCCAACCATTGGGTGATGCAATGAAACAGGAAGTAGGTGCATTTTAGTTACAGTTGATTTAACACATAATGTATCATCATCATCATCATCAGTCTTTAATAGTCCACTGCTCAACATAGGCCTCTCCTTAGAAAGGAGGTTTTGGCCTACTATACCACGCTGGCCAGATGGGTTGGTATATTATACATGAGTACATACCTTATAATACATAAATACTGTATAAAAGTATATAAATACACACATACACACGCAAGTAGATACTGATAACAATTTTGTATTAAAATGAAAAGAAATCATGAGTAAGTTGATTCTGCCAGTTGTTTGACCAGATACTTTCTTTTTTTTTTCTTTTTATAAGACAACTCCCGCATAAGGAAAATATTCCTGTGTCGCGGGGGACTTTACAAACATACATGAAACGGACACAAAGAACACCCAGACTCAGAATAACAATTTGTGGATCACACAAAGTGTAGCCCCATGTGGGGATCGGACCCACAACACTCAGCGTAGTAGTATGCGACCGCTTAAACCACTACTCAGTGATACTGCTTTACTTTCACCTTAAACGAAAAAGTATTGGTAGCCATCCTGATTCTCTTCCACGTGAAATGTGGTGATCAGCCGGATATACGTATCTGTATTCACGGGTAACTGAGCTAGAAAAAATCTGTATCTGTGACTTATTGACAGATTTTGAACGGACCTAGTATATAATACGTTTATTAAATTCTAAATTCACTTTGCTAAAATTGAAAATTTAAATGTTTAATGTAGCGAGTTAATATTAATGTGAATGAATAATAAACTTAATAAGGCATCTTCTATTTGATTATCTTTGAATAGTGGTTAAACTCCAAAAAATAAGGTACACAGTTTAAACAGTAAGATGCCGCATAAACTCATTCGAGTTTTTCCGTGCATCAGTGTCATCACTAATACATATTTATACATACTTAAACAGCTAATTATTCTAAATTAATAAGACAACAAAATCACACACATCACAACATTATCTATGACCGGTGTACTTACATATAAAAGTGTTTGTCTAAACACTAATCTCTGGCACTGTTAGTACGATTTTAACTATCCTTTTTGTAATGGATACATAATTAATTGAAGCAAGTTGCAACTACATGCAACATCAATCGGAAAAGGAAATTCTCGGAAGAAACGGAACAATTAATTTGAGCGTGTAGTCATTATAACAATCAAATACTTATTAAAATAAGTATTTAAAAAACAGTTGCGGTGTAAGTCCAAACATATCGCGTTACTACTCTTAAAGGTTAACTGCCGTTTTAACGTCACGCATATTGGCATTAACTGAAAAAAAATGCGGATCCGTCGGATTTAGATGTTTAACGATCTGGCTCATCGACGATGTCCAACAGCGAGCGACACGGCGACAGTGCAGCGCAACATCTCGTCGAAGCGCCACAACATCTGCTACGAGGCGCGGCTGGTGTCGGGCAAGCCGCGCCGCGTGCTGTGCTGCATCAGCCCCAAGCAGCTCACGCTCAAGGACTATATCTTCAAGTTTATACCCAAAAGGATTACCAGTTTCCGCCTGTGCCCTTCTACCAAGGTAACTTTTCTGTTATAACTTATTGTTTACAATTTCCAGTTACAGCTTATGCGATCCTGATAGATTTGACGGGCCTGTTGGTGTAGTGGCCACTGATTCTAACTGTTGAGCCAAAGTAGGTGAGTTCGATTCCCACCCAGGACAAATAATATGTGATGAGCATGATCATTAAGACCAGGAAGAGGGGCTTGGGCTCCGTCAACCTCACTCACTCGGTGAAAAAAAAAGAAAGATTTGTTTAACTTTGGATATCATTGGCCAATTTGTGTTGAAGCATGAATCACCAACGGGAAAACCACTACCTCTACCTATCAGGAATATAGATTTCAATGATATGTTGAAGCAAGACTTAAGACGTCTTAGAACTCTTTATTCCCTATTCTCATGTGGTGTGTATTGTTCCAGTTAATCCTGAAGCCTTGCGGCGGGGAGTTCACCCTGGAGGACGGCGTGCAGCCGCAGCTGGAGCTGGTGTCCGCCGAGCGGGACCTTATCGCCGCCACCTTCACTCAGCTGCTCATCGCCAACTGCGGGGGGGAAGACACCTTTAAGGTACCTCAGTGCGTTCTGTAGCTGATGTAGTCTCATCGCGCCACATATGTGTACTCTGGCATATCTCTTCTGTCTGTGGCTTCGATCTTATCGGTAAACATACATACAATATAATAAAATTTCATCTCAATACGAAATAGACCTCTATGGTACCAGTGTCTCTGTTGCGGCCAGTCTGTCTTTATTTACGTAAAACAACTTTATACGTTATCTAATATGTTTAATTCAATAAATTGCGTTACATCGAATTTGATTGAATGTAGAATTTTGCGACAAGACCAATATATTGTGTTATTCGGTCGGCGTCTAGAAGCGAAGGGAAGTTAGGCACACGCCCCCGCACGCCCTTGAGCGCAACTTCACTCCGTTCCCTTCATTCCGGTCGATCGCCTTCTTTTCTTGCCACGGGATGGCGTTAGTAGTAACAGTCTCTAAACTTTAAAACATTTTAGCTAAGAATTTTTTTGATCGACTACGGGTGCTGGCTTTGTGTTTGTTTAACTGACTTCCAATTTAATGTTACCCGTGGATTTCTAATCGCGGATATGTAAATGGCCATCAGATGTTCATGTATTGTGTCTTATGTTTTTAAAATGCTACTCGTAGCTGTAATTATCCCAAACAAAGAAAAAAAACATTTTGTTAATCAATTCTGGTATTTGTCAACACCTTTTCTGGATAACCAAAAGTACCCTTGATACTTTTCTGTACCTCTGACGAAGTTTCCACAAAATTTCATGTTAAACGGTTTAGTAGTTATAACATGAAAGTGTTACAAACAAACTAATATTTTAGGCTTATATGAGTGAGCCTAATGGTAATGGGCCTGTGGGTCTAGTTAGGTTAGTGACCTTGACTGCTAAGCTAGAGGACGTCGGTTCGATTCCTACCCAAGATAAATAATTGTGTGATGAGCACGATCATTTGTTCTATGTCTGGGGTATTTTCTTATTTATTGGGTTATTTTATTATAATTTTCTTTGTTTATTTTTCAGAACAAACAAGACTTTTTCTACAGTGAAATTCGCAAGGCACACTCTCGTCACCCACACGAGAAGTTGGCCATCAGGGTTTTGCGCTCGGAGCTGGTGCGGAGTAGCCTCAAGGCCACCAGGCACTTCACGATGGCGGATTGGTGCAAAAATTTCGATGTCACCTTCCAGGGAGAACAAGGTATTCCTTACCTTCCCTACACCTACTTCCGACCCTGTATGACTGTTTCTTAGGGTATCTAAAACCTAAAACGTCTCGACGATTATAAAAATGAAGCGAAAACTTGAAAATTTTAAAATTTTTGATTATAACATTCTAAAAGTTCTGACATGAATATACAGGGTTACTGGGTAAGTCGACCTAAATACTTTAAGGGGTTGTAGTTGCCATCATTTCTGATACATTTCACTATGGAATACCATATCCCAAACCTAACCACTTTCAAGATATTGGAGTTTCAGATTTTTTTACAAAAATGTTCCCAATTTTTTTTTTATAACTTATATTAAGTTTTTATTTTAAGTTTTTTTACTGTTTTTGTGTAGTAAATACATTGTTTTATAACTTCCATTACTAAAATCATAGTTAACTTAACTGACTTAGCCCAATTTGTAAAAATACAGTATTAAATCATTAAACAGATTCCCAGAGTTCCTAATTCGAAATAAAAATATTCTTTTCGGCTGCCTTTCTTACCGCCCTATTCTAAACACGCCCTACGGAAAACATTACCCTCCTTTTATCGCATTCAAGTAAAAATACAAAGTTATTCTAATTAATTAAATATACTATAGTATAATAAAATATAGAATTTAACTTAAGTAGAATGTTTCTTGTGTATCTGTGGAAGCTTGGTATTGGTTTTTCAACAACCATATTACTGATGTACTGTAGCTGTAAGCTCTCCAAATAAAATAAATTTTGAAAATGTATAATTTTTTTAAGGAATGTTCACCTACATCTACAAAAAAAAGCATCTTTGAACGAAGTGCAAACTCAGTAAAGTATTTATCGTCTGCCTCGGACCTTTATGATAAAATTCGACGACTCAATTTTTTTTTAATTTTTTTTTTTAATGTTAGTTTGCAACACTGTATAATTTGGCAAGGATTAAGTCGCCGCCATATTGGTACTCAACAATACCCTCTTTTAATTATTTAGAAATTTTACAAAGTGGGATGCGGGCCGTACGGTTGTTGTGGCGCACCTTGGGGAAGGGCTATGTCCAACAGTGGACGTCTCTCGTCTGAGATGATGATGAAGGCGACAATTTTTATTACTCTCCCTGATTAATTATTTTATTGCTGAATGCATTGTAAAAATATTTAAGGCATTTTAATTACTTATGCACGAATTACAACGGAACTGTACAATGGCGGACTTAATGCCACAGGCATTTTCTTCCAGTCAACCTTTAGGTGGTGGGGAAATGTCTGAGTAGGTGCACTAGAAATTAAGTTTTGTTTTTTGTTTTAAAAAGATAATAGTCTAAATTGAGAAGATGGGCAGAAACATTGGGACAAATATACATACATACTGGAATAATCTTTATCATCTTTTGTATTGGTTTCTCTTCAGGAGTGGACTGGGGTGGCGTACGCCGCGAGTGGTTCTCTCTACTGTGTGGTCAGCTGTTCGATGCCAAGTTTGGACTTTTTGTGTCTTTCCACGACTCACCTACCGGTCTTGTACATCCAAACCCTGATCGACCACCACATTTGAAGGTGAGAAAATGGAATGAAAATTAAGTTTGTAATTTGTCAATCATCAACAGCTTTTAACAGTCCACTGCTGGACATAGGCACCTCCTTAGACAGGAGGTTTTGGCCTAATATACCACGCTGGTCAGACCCGTTGGTGTAAGATTTGTGACAAGTTTTCCTTCTCTCTGCAGTGATGTTGTCCTGTGTAGTTTGAAACTAGATGGCGTTGTGTGTCAGATGTCAAAAAATATTATTATTATTACTTAGAATTTTCCTTAATTCAAGCAAACATCAATTACCTGTAAACTATTTTAAAGAGTGTTGAATAAGTGTATAAAGTAATGTATGTGTGCAGCTGAAGCACTTCGAGCTGGCGGGCAAGCTGGTGGGCAAGTGTCTGTACGAGAGCGCGCTGGGCGGGTCGTACCGCCAGCTCGTGCGCGCGCGCCTCACGCGCTCCTTCCTCGCGCAGATCATCGGCCTGCGCGTGCACTACAAGGTACTCACGTTACACTCACGCGCTCCTTCCTCGCGCAGATCATCGGCCTGCGCGTGCACTACAAGGTACTCACGTTACACTCACGCGCTCCTTCCTCGCGCAGATCATCGGCCTGCGCGTGCACTACAAGGTACTCACGTTACACTCACGCGCTCCTTCCTCGCGCAGATCATCGGCCTGCGCGTGCACTACAAGGTACTCACGTTACACTCACGCGCTCCTTCCTCGCGCAGATCATCGGCCTGCGCGTGCACTACAAGGTACTCACGTTACACTCACGCGCTCCTTCCTCGCGCAGATCATCGGCCTGCGCGTGCACTACAAGGTACTCACGTTACACTCACGCGCTCCTTCCTCGCGCAGATCATCGGCCTGCGCGTGCACTACAAGGTACTCACGTTACACTCACGCGCTCCTTCCTCGCGCAGATCATCGGCCTGCGCGTGCACTACAAGGTACTCACGTTACACTCACGCGCTCCTTCCTCGCGCAGATCATCGGCCTGCGCGTGCACTACAAGGTACTCACGTTACACTCACGCGCTCCTTCCTCGCGCAGATCATCGGCCTGCGCGTGCACTACAAGGTACTCACGTTACACTCACGCGCTCCTTCCTCGCGCAGATCATCGGCCTGCGCGTGCACTACAAGGTACTCACGTTACACTCACGCGCTCCTTCCTCGCGCAGATCATCGGCCTGCGCGTGCACTACAAGGTACTCACGTTACACTCACGCGCTCCTTCCTCGCGCAGATCATCGGCCTGCGCGTGCACTACAAGGTACTCACGTTACACTCACGCGCTCCTTCCTCGCGCAGATCATCGGCCTGCGCGTGCACTACAAGGTACTCACGTTACACTCACGCGCTCCTTCCTCGCGCAGATCATCGGCCTGCGCGTGCACTACAAGGTACTCACGTTACACTCACGCGCTCCTTCCTCGCGCAGATCATCGGCCTGCGCGTGCACTACAAGGTACTCACGTTACACTCACGCGCTCCTTCCTCGCGCAGATCATCGGCCTGCGCGTGCACTACAAGGTACTCACGTTACACTCACGCGCTCCTTCCTCGCGCAGATCATCGGCCTGCGCGTGCACTACAAGGTACTCACGTTACACTCACGCGCTCCTTCCTCGCGCAGATCATCGGCCTGCGCGTGCACTACAAGGTACTCACGTTACACTCACGCGCTCCTTCCTCGCGCAGATCATCGGCCTGCGCGTGCACTACAAGGTACTCACGTTACACTCACGCGCTCCTTCCTCGCGCAGATCATCGGCCTGCGCGTGCACTACAAGGTACTCACGTTACACTCACGCGCTCCTTCCTCGCGCAGATCATCGGCCTGCGCGTGCACTACAAGGTACTCACGTTACACTCACGCGCTCCTTCCTCGCGCAGATCATCGGCCTGCGCGTGCACTACAAGGTACTCACGTTACACTCACGCGCTCCTTCCTCGCGCAGATCATCGGCCTGCGCGTGCACTACAAGGTACTCACGTTACACTCACGCGCTCCTTCCTCGCGCAGATCATCGGCCTGCGCGTGCACTACAAGGTACTCACGTTACACTCACGCGCTCCTTCCTCGCGCAGATCATCGGCCTGCGCGTGCACTACAAGGTACTCACGTTACACTCACGCGCTCCTTCCTCGCGCAGATCATCGGCCTGCGCGTGCACTACAAGGTACTCACGTTACACTCACGCGCTCCTTCCTCGCGCAGATCATCGGCCTGCGCGTGCACTACAAGGTACTCACGTTACACTCACGCGCTCCTTCCTCGCGCAGATCATCGGCCTGCGCGTGCACTACAAGGTACTCACGTTACACTCACGCGCTCCTTCCTCGCGCAGATCATCGGCCTGCGCGTGCACTACAAGGTACTCACGTTACACTCACGCGCTCCTTCCTCGCGCAGATCATCGGCCTGCGCGTGCACTACAAGGTACTCACGTTACACTCACGCGCTCCTTCCTCGCGCAGATCATCGGCCTGCGCGTGCACTACAAGGTACTCACGTTACACTCACGCGCTCCTTCCTCGCGCAGATCATCGGCCTGCGCGTGCACTACAAGGTACTCACGTTACACTCACGCGCTCCTTCCTCGCGCAGATCATCGGCCTGCGCGTGCACTACAAGGTACTCACGTTACACTCACGCGCTCCTTCCTCGCGCAGATCATCGGCCTGCGCGTGCACTACAAGGTACTCACGTTACACTCACGCGCTCCTTCCTCGCGCAGATCATCGGCCTGCGCGTGCACTACAAGGTACTCACGTTACACTCACGCGCTCCTTCCTCGCGCAGATCATCGGCCTGCGCGTGCACTACAAGGTACTCACGTTACACTCACGCGCTCCTTCCTCGCGCAGATCATCGGCCTGCGCGTGCACTACAAGGTACTCACGTTACACTCACGCGCTCCTTCCTCGCGCAGATCATCGGCCTGCGCGTGCACTACAAGGTACTCACGTTACACTCACGCGCTCCTTCCTCGCGCAGATCATCGGCCTGCGCGTGCACTACAAGGTACTCACGTTACACTCACGCGCTCCTTCCTCGCGCAGATCATCGGCCTGCGCGTGCACTACAAGGTACTCACGTTACACTCACGCGCTCCTTCCTCGCGCAGATCATCGGCCTGCGCGTGCACTACAAGGTACTCACGTTACACTCACGCGCTCCTTCCTCGCGCAGATCATCGGCCTGCGCGTGCACTACAAGGTACTCACGTTACACTCACGCGCTCCTTCCTCGCGCAGATCATCGGCCTGCGCGTGCACTACAAGGTACTCACGTTACACTCACGCGCTCCTTCCTCGCGCAGATCATCGGCCTGCGCGTGCACTACAAGGTACTCACGTTACACTCACGCGCTCCTTCCTCGCGCAGATCATCGGCCTGCGCGTGCACTACAAGGTACTCACGTTACACTCACGCGCTCCTTCCTGTCTGAGTCTGATCCCAAACTAGACGGAGCCTGTACTATGGTAACCAGACTGCTGATAAACATACATATATATACTTCTAAATACATACATATTATAGATAAATTACACCCAGACACAAAACAAATGACCATGCTCATCACACAATATTGGTCCTGGGTGGGTATCGAACCCACGACTTGCGGCTTAGCAGTCAGGGTCACTAACCACTAGACCACCAGGCCCGTCAATTAGAAGGTAAGTGTGACCCTCGTACAAACACAAACTCTTTTGTTTCGTTCTAGGCTGTGTTTGTTTACTCAATGTGTCATTGAGTAAACAAAAACAGCCTACAAAAATCCAAACACAAAACACAAAATTTTTAATTAACCATCAAATATAATATTATTACTTATATATTTATTATTACATATTGGAACGCCTTCTGTAGTTTTGTTTAGAATGGTTCTTTTTCTTCTTCTCAGTACTTCGAACAAGATGACCCGGAGCTGTACCTGTCTAAGATCAAGTACGTGTTGGAGACAGACCTGGACAGCTCAGAGGGAGTGCCGGAGCTGTACTTCGCGGAGGACGTATACGACTCTAACGGGAGGCTGCGGGAGACTCACGACCTCATACCTAATGGGAGCACCATACGGGTGGGTATTTTACTTAACACAGTAAACACAAACACCGCTTCCAAACCTATACAAATCCCTTGTCCATTGTGGGCAATACATGTCACGGCAGTAAAATGTCCGACATTCGACATAATGTCAAGATATTAATTGAATTAAAGATATTAAAAAAAAAAAAGCACCTGTTAACATCTATAACAGTGTTTTAGTATATTAACAGTTGATGCAGTGATATCTGATTAGTTTGTGGATAAGACTCACACATACAAAGAAACCTAAACATACTACAGCGCCATCTAACGAAAACACACCGAACTACGGAGTAACTCCGAATGAGAATTGCTAATCCTGTATCGCGATATGAAGAATTCTCTCGCCGATTAGCATATATACAACTTCCAAACATCAACCGCGGCCCGCCAGGCATGATCACCTCGCCTGATCGGAGGATCCTCCTTGTATTGGAGGGACATGACACCCCTTCCTCCACAAGTTGTTGTACATACGTACTACGGGCTACTAGAGAATTCTGAGAAGTTTGTTGGATTTACAGCCAGAAAGGATTCAGACTACTTCGAAATGTTGATCACGCGGAAGGGCACCTCACCGTCTTGGATCAAAACTGTTATTCTGCAGGCTGAAAACGGAGAGAGATGGACGAACCTAGTGAAAATATCTACTGAGGAGTATTAAATCAGATACGACCTTCAGCAATTGAAGAAAGCGACAAAGAAAAAAAGTTTCTACATATCGCACCCTCGGTGCAACAAAGTCACAAGTAGGCAAAATTGCCAAAATGACTTAAGTATGCCAAATTGTCTATAAACCATTTCTTCGTTTGGGAAATCAAAGACAGCCGCGAAATTATTTGAATAAATCGATAGATGGCATTAGTGCCTTTGTAGTTCTTGCTACTTTTTCGACGAATATTGGGAGAACAGAGTATGATTGGTAAGTAGTGACCCCGCGCCCGCGTGAGTCAGTCGTGACTTGGAGCTACACCAGCTTAAAGGTATTAATGACAAATTTTATTCACGTATATTGAAAAAACAAACGCCCTTATAACGCTCAAATAATTAAATTATATTAGTACCTGGTGCGACATAGTCACAACATTTTTTTTTGTTTCCTTTTTTTTTTCAATTTTCTAATAAAATCAAAGAAACCTTTTTACATAATACTGTAGTTAAAAGAACAAATAATATAATTTTAATGAGATATCCCGGCTGCTGTAGGTAGTAATCTAGAAAAAAGGAAAATTGATCGAAAAAAAACTTAAAAGTCCGTTCCTGTAAAATTACAAAATGACCTGTTGTGACTTTGTTGCACCGAGGGTGCGATATATTGGTTGCCTGTTTTTCAAATAAATAATTTAATGGTCTCTATAAAATTGTGTGTTCATTAAATTGTTATTCGAGTTTATTTGCACGATAACTATTAGATTTAAATCGCAAACCTTCATCATCAAAATGATGATTGAACTTAGAGTAGTTAGTGAAGTACGTTACTGCAGGTCCGCAACAGCACCAAGATCTCGTACCTGGACGCGCTGGCGCAGTGGCGGCTGGCGGCGCGCGTGCGCGCGGAGACCGACGCCTTCCTGCGCGGCCTCACGCTGCTCGTGCCCGACAACCTGCTCGCCATCTTCGACGAGAACGAGCTGGAGGTGAGTGCTGGCGTGTGTGTGTGTGTGTGTACAGCTGCTGGTGTGCGGCACGGGCGAGGTGTCGGTGGCGGACCGGCGCTGGTGTCTGCCACTGTGTGTGTGTGTGTGTGTGTGTGTGTGTACAGCTGCTGGTGCGCGGCACGGGCGAGGTGTCGGTGGCGGACCGGCGCTGGTGTCGGCCACTGTGTGTATGTGTGTGTGTGTGTGTACAGCTGCTGGTGTGCGGCACGGGCGAGGTGTCGGTGGCGGACCGGCGCTGGTGTCTGCCACTGTGTGTGTGTGTGTGTGTGTGTGTGTGTACAGCTGCTGGTGTGCGGCACGGGCGAGGTGTCGGTGGCGGACCGGCGCTGGTGTCGGCCACTGTGTGTATGTGTGTGTGTGTGTGTACAGCTGCTGGTGTGCGGCACGGGCGAGGTGTCGGTGGCGGACCGGCGCTGGTGTCGGCCACTGTGTGTATGTGTGTGTGTGTGTGTACAGCTGCTGGTGTGCGGCACGGGCGAGGTGTCGGTGGCGGACCGGCGCTGGTGTCTGCCACTGTGTGTGTGTGTGTGTGTGTGTGTGTACAGCTGCTGGTGCGCGGCACGGGCGAGGTGTCGGTGGCGGACCGGCGCTGGTGTCGGCCACTGTGTGTATGTGTGTGTGTGTGTGTGTACAGCTGCTGGTGTGCGGCACGGGCGAGGTGTCGGTGGCGGACCGGCGCTGGTGTCGGCCACTGTGTGTATGTGTGTGTGTGTGTACAGCTGCTGGTGTGCGGCACGGGCGAGGTGTCGGTGGCGGACCGGCGCTGGTGTCGGCCACTGTGTGTATGTGTGTGTGTGTGTACAGCTGCTGGTGTGCGGCACGGCCGAGGTGTCGGTGGCGGACCGGCGCTGGTGTCGGCCACTGTGTGTATGTGTGTGTGTGTGTACAGCTGCTGGTGTGCGGCACGGGCGAGGTGTCGGTGGCGGACCGGCGCTGGTGTCGGCCACTGTGTGTATGTGTGTGTGTGTGTACAGCTGCTGGTGTGCGGCACGGGCGAGGTGTCGGTGGCGGACCGGCGCTGGTGTCGGCCACTGTGTGTATGTGTGTGTGTGTGTACAGCTGCTGGTGTGCGGCACGGGCGAGGTGTCGGTGGCGGACCGGCGCTGGTGTCGGCCACTGTGTGTGTGTGTGTGTGTGTGTACAGCTGCTGGTGTGCGGCACGGGCGAGGTGTCGGTGGCGGACCGGCGCTGGTGTCGGCCACTGTGTGTATGTGTGTGTGTGTGTACAGCTGCTGGTGTGCGGCACGGGCGAGGTGTCGGTGGCGGACCGGCGCTGGTGTCGGCCACTGTGTGTATGTGTGTGTGTGTGTGTACAGCTGCTGGTGTGCGGCACGGGCGAGGTGTCGGTGGCGGACCGGCGCTGGTGTCGGCCACTGTGTGTATGTGTGTGTGTGTGTACAGCTGCTGGTGTGCGGCACGGGCGAGGTGTCGGTGGCGGACCGGCGCTGGTGTCGGCCACTGTGTGTATGTGTGTGTGTGTGTACAGCTGCTGGTGTGCGGCACGGGCGAGGTGTCGGTGGCGGACCGGCGCTGGTGTCGGCCACTGTGTGTGTGTGTGTGTGTGTGTACAGCTGCTGGTGTGCGGCACGGGCGAGGTGTCGGTGGCGGACCGGCGCTGGTGTCGGCCACTGTGTGTATGTGTGTGTGTGTGTACAGCTGCTGGTGTGCGGCACGGGCGAGGTGTCGGTGGCGGACTGGCGCGCGCACGCGCTGGTGTCGGGCGCGGGACGCGAGTGGGAGCGACTGCTCGGCTGGCTGTGGGCGGCGCTGGCCAACTTCAGCACGGAGGAGCGTGCGCGTCTGCTGCAGTTCACCACGGGCTGCTCGCAGCTGCCCCCCGGCGGCTTCCAGGACCTCAACCCGCGCTTTCAGATCACGCCCGCGCCCACCTTCGGCGCGCTGCCCACGGCCCACACCTGCTTCAACCAGCTCTGCCTGCCCGACTACGACAGCTACGAGCAGCTCGTGCACGCACTGCTCTGGGCCATCAACGAGGGCGGCGAGGGCTTCGGCATGATATAGGTACATCTTTACTGAAGCGATCCATTCCCCTCTTGACTGGGGGGTACACCATTTACACAATAATAAGCAGAAAAAAAGGGAATTGTTGTTCGAATGTGAGACATCATATAATCAATTTACTACGAAGCGCTTAACGATGCAAAATCGTTAAAGATTCCACACCTAAGTCCTTCCGGAAATAGTGTTCTGCGAGAAATATACACAAAAAGTAAAACTTGATTCAAAATTTGACGAATCATTGTATATAAACGGAATCCTGCCAAAGACACGCCATCTATACGGAATTGATAAACGTATGACAATAACAATTGTTAGTTAACACCTATGATTATTGTCATTTAAGTAATGTGACCAATATAAAAAAAAATTGAAAATAAAATTGGGTGTTGCAAATTGAAAAAAAAATACCATTAGTAACTTTTTAATATAATATTTAAAAATAACAAGTTTGCATTGTATTTTTAAAGTAAAATTAATAAAAATTGTCTTCATTTTTAAAGAATAAACGCGTCTTGTGTATATCTAAATTACCTTAAACGTACCAACTTGTGTACGATTGCAATTTACATATAAATATGTACGTATTACAAAATGTATCCAATATAAAATATTTATTTATTATCTTACTATAAATCGTTTAATCATGAAAATGCGCATACGCCGCGGTAAACACATAGACATTACTTACGTATTCGTTGTCTTAATACGTGTGACCAACAGTACCGTTTGCAAAAACATTCAAAATTATACAAATATCTTTATTGTCTGATATACTTATAGTATATAGTTGGACAAATTTCGTAGCTATTTGTTGAACCCTATCCAAATATTTGAGGCTATAAGCTATTTAAATGAAGTCAAAAATAATATGTGATTATAACCAAATAACTTAAAATATTGTATGTTTAAAAGTAGATCTGATTTAAAGTATTGACATAGTTAGAAGAATAGATTTAATAATAATAGTATTGCGTAGAATTATTTATTAGTATTTATTTAAATGCAAGAAGTAAGAATTTGTGAAAAAGAGAGGGATGACTCTGCCTATAGAAGGCTGATCCTAAAGTGTATTGATGAGCTAAATTTGAATAATTTTCATAATGTTCTCATGCTTTGTTGTTGTGTAAGTCTTTTATACATCACACGGTATGTTTCACGCACAAAATACGTAAAAATACTGCTTAATATTACTCAGTACATATCTGTTCAATAGAAAATTATTTAAATTTAAAATAATATTTTAGGACTTGAAAGCTTATATAATGTAATCTGTATAATCATTTGTACTACATTTAGTAAAAACTTTGACTTACTTTGGCCTAAACTCTGAACTATAACTCCGCTCTGAACTCCGCTTTAAGAAAAAGTAAATATTATATATTGATATAATGTAAAATTAATTATAAAATAAATCAAGTGTACGTACGTATATGTACTTGTACGAACTGTAAAAAGGAAATTGAATTTAAATGTACATTATATTACAGTAAAATGAGTGAAATGTATTTATTCATTTATTTTTTTATATGTGGCAACACTTACCGGATTAAACGGCGACGTTGTTTTCTGTGGCCTCAATCGCATTTTATACAGTAACCTCTTGACACTTGGTTATTATTTATATCGAAAAGTATTATTTTTTTATATTTTATTTACTAGACCATTATTATCATGTTAGTAAAATTTAGTATCGTTAATTTTATTTAGTGTAATCGATGCTGTTATTTATATAGACTAAGCAAATGTTCAATGAAACTTAAAACTGTTTTTTTTTTATTCATAATGTCATAAGTGTCAAGTTGACAGCCTTCATTATTGTTCTAGTCAAGTAAATACTCGAAATATTTACAATTTAATAGCAAATAATATATATATATATACTGGGAAGTGACAACTTTAATTATCATTAACTCCTTACATACGTAGACTTCTGAGCGTCAGAAATCGAAAACGCTTTTTTGTGGCTTCCAAGCAGGCCGCTAAAAAGTTGTTTGATTTTACACGAGCACTTCGGAACGCTCTTAACTACTTTTATATATCACAATAAGGCAATTTTTTTATTGTTTTGATGTGTAACATCTTTCTTATCGCTTTCCTGCAAGCTGTGCGGGTAATTTCTTGAGAAGGGACGGAAATGTGTAACAGGAAGACCAACAAGCACGTGTGGTTCTACAGTTGGCTATCAACTGGGTGAAATGTCAGGTGTCGTTAGGCTCGCTTGTTTTTTAAATAAATACTTGTGATAAAAAAGCGTTTTTATCTACACACATATATTAGTGATTGAAGTATGAAATTGCCGATTTGTACATATTTTTTTAAAGAGGAACCTCATAGGTATCACGTGAAAAGTTTTACACGAAAATCTCACACCATGAAGGTTTTATGTCAATTCAAAGTATCTATTACTATACAACGGAAATTTTATACCTTACCCCTATTATAACAAAAGGATTGCTATCAGCCAGTTCTGTTTTCAAAACTGAATAAATAACTAGAGTTTACTTCTAGTAAAAGTAGGTATTATTACTTTCTAAACGTATATTATTTATAATTGACCAAATTAACTGTAACTAGTGTGTTTTTAAACTCGCACATTCCATGATAGAAATTAAAGCTCTACACACTTTAGTATAAAGCTACTAGCAAGCGGCGGGCGATATCGAATCTAATTCAGTCGTTGTTTCCTCATGGACCAACTATGTATGCACAACTAGTTGTGTCATGAGGAATATATTTTTTAAATCATTCCTATTGGCACAACGAAATAATTTTCAATTAATATTTGTTCCTAGATACACAACTGATTACAATCGGTGTACAAAGGTTCATCGTTATGGTTATAAGTTCTTCGTTTTCTGGCGTAGACTTAGACATGCTTACAGTCAGGATATACGCCAGCGTATGCACGAAAATCAATATTTTTTAAATAATTACTGATAATAAATGACATGAAATGGCATTTATAATTTTCTATTTGTTAATATACAAAGATATGACAGAAGTGGCCAACATAATCATCAATATCTAAACAGGTTAGTAATAATCTTATTTATTTCCTCCTGTAGTTGTGCTAAAAGGAATGGTTATAGTAAATCAGTTGTGCTTAGTTGTGCATAGTTGTGTCATTAAGAACATATTCTGGGATGGCACAACTAGTTGTGCGTACATAGTTGGTCCATGAGGAAAACGGGAATTCAGTGGTAAGCCGCGTGCCGGCTCATTTGCACGTCTTGTAGTTTGCTACTCAATCACGGGCCGGGTTACGACGTCTGCGTCTCTGTTCATAGCATACTATCGAGTTAGTTGACAGTTAGACTAGGTTTATTTCAAACATTATTTGTTCACCAAAGCAGTCATATACACAATCTACTGATAAATAAATAATCTTTAAAAGTAGAAAATCATTATAACAAATACATTCACGATAGAAAAACAGGTAAATTCTAAGGGAAATTTAAGTGTAAGTAAAATCAAGTTGGTCTTCTGCACTTCTTGTGCTATTATGCATTCTGTGGTATTACATTACAATCCGGGAGTTGACAACGTTTCAAACATAGATTTAAACGCTTCATGTGTTGAAAATAATAACCGTAAAGTAATATTTGATTTCTTATTTTTGTCCAAAAAATGTACAAATTTCAAATAAAAGTACATTTAAAATTTACATAAAAAATAGACCACAAATACGTACGATTGCTTGAAGTTTATGCAGCCTACTGTACGTGTACAAAATTAAACTAGCATTTTTATTTTTTAAATTTACAACATACTAATAATAATAAATGAACTAGTTATTCTTGTTCGTAAGGCGCGGTTTGTTTTTAAAATCGAATATGTAGACAAGCTACGTCATAGAATCTAAGCGTTAAGAAAGCTACAGAATTTTTTTTTTTTTTTATTTGAGATCGAAATGGCGTTCTAAGTATCTATATATCTACCAGTTAGTCCAATTGAAATTATAGACAATTAATAGACATATGTAATTTATGAGTAGCGTACTTGTAAATATTTATTAAATCAAAATCATTTATTATTTGCATAAAACAGGTATAAAGGTGGTAGAAGAACATCATATAATACATAGGTACGCTGTAATATAATCTCTTAAAGGTGTGCAAATATTTAGTCATAGATATTTAAAAGATTATTATTTAGACGCTCAACATTACAAACACAATTTGAAGAATATATTCATGTCATAAATTTATTCAGAGAATTAATAATGTCAAGAGTGTTATGAATGCTATTAAGTCAGATCAATATAATAAAACCAAAAAATAATAATAAAAAAAAAAACAACAATAATAATCAAATAGTCAAAATAATAAAAATAAAAAAATAAAAAATGTCACATTGTCATGTTCAACATAAATTAAATAACAATGAACGAAATTAATTTGATTTACAATTTGTCTTGCAGAAAATCATTTACATTATAATAGCATTTTTGGCTCAGAATTTTTTTTAATGTCTGTTTAAAGATAGTCGGATTTGACTCCTTTATATTCCTAGGCAATTTATTATATATTTTTGGAGCCATGGCGAAAACACTGTTATGCATTAGAGCAGTGTTTGATTTACACAGGCATAGCCGGGATTTATCTCTTTGCATTCGGCCGTACGCATCAGAAGACAAAACAAATAAATTAGGATTTAGTTTGGCAAACATAGCTACCTCGAGTATATAAATGGATGGTAGTGTCAAAATATTATATTTTTTATAATAGGGCAGACAGCTGTCGGTTGATTTTAGAGAGAACATTGCCCTCACACAACGTTTCTGTACCTTGAATACTTTATCTTTATGTACAGAGTTACCCCAGAAAATTATACCAAACCTAAGAACTGACGCCACCATACCATGGTATGCAGTCAGAAGTGCATGAGTATTAATTACTTGTGACAATTCATGAAGTGCATACACTGATTTACTGACCCTCTTGCATATTTGTTCTACCTGTTGTTTCCATGTTAACTTATTGTCTATTATTACACCTAGA